CGCCCGGGCCCGCCCGGTGCGTTCCAGCCTGGTTGGAAGTTAAAAACAACCATATCATCTGAACTGTACACACAGGTGAAGATGAGGCAAATGCTGTAGATGCGTGGAGCTCGTATAATGGGCGCTTACATTATCTTTTCTTTTTATTCGATCAGTTTTGAAAGATTACCAACGATCTGCCTGTCACTGGTGAACTTGTAAGATTTGAGTCGACAATCTTGAAAAGCATTTCTTAACAGAATGAGGAAACCACCAACAGCCTTGAGCGAGTTGTTAGTGTTTGGTTATTTCTGGTTATTCCCACCTTCACAGAAAGGATTTTGATTTCTGGTAAGCTAAATATATACGTTTGCAGTACTGGCGTTCCAGAATGAGAACTGGCCCGTAGCAGCATTTTCACCTCAGTGGCCATCTTGTACTCTGCTTGTAAACTTCTGCGCCTCCCCTCCGGATTCCAAAATCATTTGGTCTTACTCAAGCGTTATTTGTTTCGACCTCAGACAATCTCCGTCTTGAAAGGAGGATTAAGAATATCAAACACAAACCGGCGAAGGATTTTCGATTATTTCTTTGAGAGTCTCCTCTAGCGCACCAATATCTTTCCGGAACGCATTAACTCGTCGCTGTATCAAAGTGTAACATTCGTCACATGGTAGGCAACCAGCCTGAAGATTGTAACGGTTTTCGATGCAACGATCGCAGCGCCGACCCTCAATATGGTCACGACACAGACACTGTCCTGCAATCAGCGTTTTCACTTGTGGGCCTGCTTACTACCTGCTTATTCTAAAAATAAAATTAATACAATATTCGTGTTTTATGCTTTCTTGATGTACAGCACTGGAGCGCTACTAAACAATTTTTTTTACACAAAACTAGCCAATGTTCTCTTCGACTGGCTCTACCGCAACAGTCACCGAAACTCTTTAGTAATGCGCCAGAAATTTACTCCATCTTAAGCCACAAACATGTTGCGGCAAGCTCATATCTCTATGCTTCGGCCCTGAGTTTTACATTTCCATTTAATACTTAAGTCATAACTTCGAAAGCGGCAGTAGTAGAAGCTTATTTTTCCGCAGATCTTACGCGCCAGTGTTACTGATAATAAACATACCAGTGTGAACATCGCACTGCGGTGATTCGGATCCGATTACTTCACAGTCACACGATTGGCATCCTTCCATTCCAAAACCATAATGTTGCGGAACACACTGATCACACCTGCAACTTATCAAGTTAGATACACTTTTCCATACTTGAATTACTGGGAAACCCTCGTCATATTCG